GTCGATACATCACGGAGTCGTGGCTGGAGTGGCAGCCGACGAGGTTGTTCAAGCAAGGCGGTAGCCCTTTGTGCCGTTTGTCGAAGTAGCCGAGAGCGTAGGGTGGTGTAGCCGTGGTCGAGGTAGCCGTGCGAAGAACGCCGTGGTCGGTGTCGAGTCAGGGGTCGCCGGTGTCGAGGTAGTCGCCGTGGAGCCGCGAAAGAAGAGCAGCGGCGGCGGCGGCGTAAGGAGGCGGCAACGGCTAGAGAAGGAGAGCGGCGGTGATGCTCGAAGTAGGCGAGGAACCCGACAGCGTGACGAAGACCGGCGCAGACGGTGGCGTTCCCGCGCCAAGGGAGATGGCGCGGTGCATACCGCGAGAGGTCAACGCGCGGGGACGGCGATGGACCGCGGGCCGCGGCACTACGACCCGAAGGGGCGACATAGCGGCGGCGGGCGGGTCAGGGCGACGACGGAAGACCTCGGGACGGTTGCGGGGACCACGGGCCATGGCGCTACAGCCCGAAGGGGCAGCGCGGCGGCGAAACGCGGGTCGGTGCAACCACGGGGACGGCCTCAGGACAGCGGCGTGGATCGCGTGCCACGCTCGCTACGGCCCGATGGGACGACATAGCGGCAGCGCGAGGGTCGGTGCAGCCACGAGGACAACTAAGAGCGGACGACCTTGGGACGGCGGTGGACGACGGGCCACGGCACTACGGCCCGAAGAGGTGATGGAGCGGTGACACGGTCGGTGCAGCCGGAAAAATACCACGGGGCGGCGACACTACGGCCTGACGTGATGACACAGTGATAGCTCATTGCTCGATCGGTAAAAGGACGTGCGAAACTGAAAGATGATTTTCACGGGACCCGTGAAGGCGCACGCAAGCGACGGCCAGATCTATCGCGTGGCACGGATGGAGGCATGTATACAACTGATCAGGCCGAACATGCAATGAAGATGGAGTGACTGGACGCCAAGATGAAGACGGCGGGTTCTGCAGCGGTCGCGTCGCATGAGCAGGCAACTAAGCCACGAGCACACGTGTTGGACAGGAAGTTGATTCGTACATGTATACGAACGATCAGCCAACATGCACACAACACGGATCGGGCGAGCGCAACGCACGCCATGCGAGCAAAGCCGGTGCACCCACGCACGTACGTCCAACCCTATCCTGCTTGAAGTGGATGGAGGTTGACTTGATGTAGGATCCCCGATCGGATCAAGGCGACGACGGCCAGCGCATACCGACATGCGGACGGAGGCGTGGACGACGGCCGTTTCAGGCCGTCGCCTAGCACGCAAGGCTGTCCTGTCGGAGAAGATGCTAGTGTGGTCGATGCTGAAGTCGGAGTGGAGGCGCGCGAGGGTCGACGGCAAAGAGAGAAAACCCGGATTAAGCAATCAGGGAAAAGACTCTGTAGGACAACCGGCCAACACGATTGGCGGACGAACCCTAGGTACGGGCGGCGCGGCCTCCGGCGACGGTCATGGAGGCCGACCGCCCCGTGGGCGGCGCGGAGCGAAAGCGGCGGGCGGCGGCTAGGGTTTGGATTGGTTAAACTGATACCATGTTAAAAGGGAGAGAGTGGGTTGATGATATTGTTATTGTATTGCTTGAGTCTCATGAGCACATATATATATGAGTACATGATTTACTTGATGTACAAGACTAGCTAGAATATTATTTAGTCTATCCTATGCATCTAATCTAATCAATATACTCAACAAGCTCGACGATGAATGGTTCAAGCATTGCAACATACTTGGAACACACTCCCTTGCAGAACTGTCCGTTAGCATCCCTGGCCACCACTCATGTGCCAGTACAATCATGAGAGCGCAGTTGAGAGCACCATCAACATTTGTTTTCACCCATCCCGGCCTCGGCGGACGCCAAACTACCTGGCTCACAGGTTTAATGGACGGTGTTGAAGATGCCCTAATCACGCACATTTGATTCCGCTAAGGAAAAGAATAATCAGACGCGAATGACCACGTCAGCTGGTTCTGGTCGGCCACGCCAAATAGAAGAGCCCAAACGCTAACTTGCAAACATTTCGCCTCTTCTTCGCTTCTTCCACCCACTCTTGAATCATTCGCCTTTCCTTCCTACCCCCTACCGATCACCTTTTCCTAAACCAACGCCTCGCTTGCTCTCCCCTTGCCATGGACAGGACAAACGCCGCGGCCGCTGCCCCGCCGCCCGTACCCATGGCGGCGCCCGTCGTCCCGGTCGATCTGACGGTCGTCAAGAAGCTCCTCGGAGGCGGCGGCGACCTGGCGGTCCACGACGCGTCTGGCGGTCTCGCCTTTCGCGTCACGGCGGCGGACGGTTGTGGCAGGAGGTGCGGAGGGAGGGCGCTCCTCGACGCCTCCGGGAGCACTCTGGTCACTGCCAGGACCAGCGAGGTGATGATTCCAGCTTGGGCGTCTGCTCTGGTTAATTTAATTCTGAGTGAGAGATTCCACCATCATCAAGTCAACTTGGCTTCTTAATTCGGGTCTACTCCGCTGTTGCTTAGAAAAGTTTCAGCTTCAAGTATACTGCTTATGAAATAGGAGTAGATTGCTCGAATTTGTTTGTCCTCACTTGATTCGTATTAGTTGGATTGCTGCAAAAATGTTACACTTCAGGAGAGTTCAGGACAGAATACAAGCACTTTGTGTCAGTAACTCAGTATCATACTTCCTCTGTTCATTGAGCTGCCAAAATGTCTTATATTTAGGAACAGAGGTGGTACCTGATAAGCTTAATTAGGCCGATAAGACAGAACAAACAATGAGTAATAGTACGAGCTGCCACAACGTCAGGTGCAATACTTGACGTAAGTTTATTTCCGTGCTTTTGTTTTTTGGCTCTCGGAAGCCTGAAGATGATGCTACATTTGTAATGCCCGCCTTAATAATTCGTGATTTATCCCTTGTTGTGCATAATACATATGTAAACTATGTCACTGAGTGGGAGGCTACTATTTTCCAGGGTGCGTGGCAGGCATTCAGAGGAATTAGTTGGGAACAGAAAGACATAATTTTTTCAACAAAGGTAATGTGTGCTTCTTCAGATCGAAAGGAGGTACATGTCTTTGTCCCGCCGAGAAGCACATCTGAGGAGCAAAAACCAAGCTACATACTCGTAGGAAATCCATCTCGAAGAGCATGCACGATTATAAGGGGAAACTCCATTGTTGCTCAGGTACTATGGAAATTTTGGTTGGGCGTGATCCACTGATGATCATTATCTGTTGTCTAGTGTACTGGTCCAATGGTTATAACTTTGAACACATTTTAGACTGACACTAAAATGTCAATTATTAATTTGTGCAGACAAATCTCCCGTACAAACTCAATAAGGCCGTCTATTCAAGGCGGAAGTTTAGGGTGACGATTTACCCAGGAAACGATAACATTCTGATCATGGCAATGGTTATGACCTTCCTTGTTCAAAAATAACATAGGTGATGAATACGAACATTGCTTTCAGAAAGCTCAGAGGATGATTTAGTTAATTCTTCTCTCACTAACCAATTGCACTTACTGGACGAAAAAAGGATTCTCGAACATGCACCCAAATGCGTGTCGTTTTCTTACTGGAAAGACTGATATGTTGTAAATATTTTGTTGGTGTCCAGTTTCATTTTTTTTTTTGGCTAGACTACTACGTACATCCAAGTTTTACATGTTCATGCCCTAAATACTTTTCTCGCATTCATTGGCATCAAGGGATGGATAGGACATGGTACTATGAAACCCAGCATTATCTTCTGATCAAGACAGCAGTATGTGTTGCATAATTGTGGCTATAATCCGGATTACCGACCAGATGTTTGTTCTAGTTGTTATGGAGGGCATGGAAAATCATACCAGAATCTCAGCCCTTGTACCGAGCTAGTGAATTTTCCCCTCAAAAGGAAGAAAATAGCTAGTGAATTTTCTTTTCTTATTAGACAATGAATGAACTATTAAATTTCCTGCGCAGGTTCCTAATGAAGCAGACGCCTTCAGTAGAAAGGCCTTAAGCCCTTGAGCACCCACACGAGAAACAGTGTTCCATTAGAATGATACATTCTCTCTGAAAACTTCTGAGAACTTGAGTAAGGCGTTCAATGAAATTCTGCAACAGGATAAGAGAAGTTGAGCACCAAAGTTTTGTCGTGTCCACTTATCGCCGATGATGAAATGTATAAATTTTATAACAAATGCTATCTTGACTGAATAGATGGAATCAGTGAAAGTATGGGCAATCATTTCAGCGCTTGAATTACCAGAACCTTTGAATGCTTAGGGCGCCGTCACTTGGCGAGGTTCTCGGAGTTCACAATACACTGGCCTTGGCCTGGCATGTGTCCAGATGAATTGTATCATGTCATGAGCAATAATGAAAATGTTAAATTGCATTTGTTCAGCCTGGGCATTACCAAAAACATGGCATCACATGGCGACAGAGTTCCGTGTATACCTTGGCTGGCATGCCATGTGTGGCTGCTTGATCCATCCGAGGGTGTTTGTATCACTCAAAACTGTGGCTGTTTCATTTATGAAGGGTGGAGTTCTCAAAGAAAAATCTCCAAAACATCTTAGAGGGGCATTCTTGGAACGTAGTCTAAGAGTTCGGTAAAATGAAGATAAAATGCAGCCATGGAAGAAAAAATGATTTGTAATCATGTCCATATGCATCCAGGAAACAAAATGCAAAACTTTGCTACCACTCCTCCGTTCCTAAATATAAGCCTTTTTAGAGATTTCAATACAAACTACATACGAAGCAAAATGAGTGAATTTACACTCTAAAATATGTCTATATACATCTGTATATATCCCTATTGAAATCTCTAAAGAGGCTTATATTTAGAAACGAAGGTATGATACTCCCTTCATTCATAAATATAAGATGTTTTGGATATTTTAATATGGATAACAGACTAAAATGAGTGAACAAACACACTAAAACATGTCTATATACATCTGAATCAGAAAAAGAATTACTTAAACGGAGAGAGTACATGATTAGAGAGATAAGTTGCAGGGAATGGAAATTCATTGGAACTCTCACACCAAGTCCCATCTTGGATTGGATTCTCCCATATTTATTCTTCCTAGGATGCCCAAAGAGCCATTGGTATTGTACAGACATACTAATAAGTAGAATAAAACAAGATTATAAAGATATATGTCTTGGACAAAAAAAAAGATATATGTCAAAAGGTTAATATAAAGCTCAGGGCAAGATAGGTGCAACTGGCAACCTTCCCGACACAACGGCTTGGAGACATACAACGCCTTGACAAAATCGTCGAACCTATATATCAGTATGCACTTCTCTGAAGCACGGCAGCTAAGGCTCCTCCTTGCTAACTTTACCAAGTGCTCGCTGAGCAAACAGCAACTCCTCTCGCTCTCGTTTCTTCGCCAAGGCCTCCTCATCGAGCACTTGGATAGGTGACCATTCGGGTACAGTAAACCAGTCTTTCGTATCAACGGACAAATGCTCTTTCCAATCACGCCATTGAGGGCTTAGCTTCATCGCGGCATAGTCCAGTGCAGTACCAGCAACCGCTAGGGTGACTGCATACTTCACCGCCCCAAAGTGACCACCTGCAGTTCCGGTCAGTTGAGGAAATTAGAAATGGTGACGCATTGTTGGTGTGTTTAGGCCTTTAGGACATAAATATAACTTTCTTTGTTTGAATATTCAAGGCTCACAAAGCATAGTAGAACAGTGAGCAGAGTACTTTTGGACTACAGAGTCAAATACAACAGTGTGTCTCTGCAATCGTATCAAACTGAATATATTGAAATTGAGATTGTCTAGTCACACCTTACTTGATTTTTTGTTATATCCCAGTCACATTTCTTATCCATTAGATCAACATCCAAATTTTGGGCAATGATGTTAAGTTTGGTAAGACCCAATTAATCCAAAGTGAGCAGAGTACTTTTGGGCTACAGAGTCAAATACAACAGTGTTTCTCTGCAATCGTATCAAACTGAATATATTGAAATTGAGATTGTCTAGTCACACCTTACTTGATTTTTTGTTATATCCCAGTCACATTTCTTATCCATTAGATCAACATCCAATCTTCCTCGTCCCCATCCCACGTATATAGAGAATTGACTTAAATTTTAAATACGAGAAATTGATTAAGCTTGTTTGAAACTGAAAAGACAAACGGAAATCTAAGATACCAAGAAGTATCCTATGGAGGATTAACCTCACTAAAACTGAGAATTGAAGTAACTTTTTACTAAATACTGCACATATTTGGACTACAATTTTAGGTTTACTATTGTTTAAGTTGAGATGACCAGGATTAGCAAACATTCCAAGCATCTGAGAATTACCAAAACCGATTGAAATTTGCAGTAGATGCTAACTGATCTCAAATACCCATGGGAAACCAAGGTTAAATATCTTTAAGTTCCTGAAGTACAATAGAGTTAGAATGGCCGACTTGCAAATCAATCAGAAAAGGTACTCCCCGGCCCAAAATATCGTAGCGTCAAAAATGATCTTACTGGAATTCTTTTTGTGTCCGTGTGTGTGTGTGTGTGCGTTGGGGGCCGCGGGGGGTGCTGTGGTAGTGGTTAATTTGAACAGATCAGAAGATCCCGTGGAGACCTCCGATGTGCAAAGTAATACAGGCAATCTGCCATCTCACTAAATATGGGAAAACAGACAACTTTCTCAATAGTTGCCTTGCTACTACGCCCCTGGCCACACACAGCATGTGATTATAGAAAACAAGATAAGCCCAAGGTGCCGTTTAAATTCACCCTGTGATGTTTCGTACATGGATACATTTATGTAGTTGAAAAAAAAACGTGTACTTGCGCGAAAATAAGAGTGTCCCATTACACGAGGAGGTCATGTGGTAAAAAGATATTTTGATCATGTATGATGTAGCCAGTTGGCACAGCACTTAGCTTCTAAGCACTTGGACAAGCTCTACCAGAACGCACATGACTGACCACAATCGCACGTTTTCCCTGACCTTCAGTCCGTAATGCAATTTAATATGTATCTTGATCTGATACTGGTAGTATGAGTGATATCATAAACTTAATTCTTTCAGATATATAAGTTTGCTTGGTGCACTGTGGTGATTAAATCCATAAGAACAATGAGGAATTGAACACTATAGACAAATTTGACTTGAGGAAAACTGCAAACGTGAGTCACTGAAAGACGTTAAGTATGAAAAGAAACATAAGTCAATATATGATTGTGCAATATAATGACCAACCTTGTATTCGGCCAAGAACAGCTCCACTTGCTAGCCCACCAACAACAGAATTCATGAGGTCATCAGGTGTTGTAGCTCGAGCATCTCTTGCAAGTTCACGTGCACCTAAGTATCAAAAGAGTATGTGCTTTGCAAGTTTACTCCAACATGCTATTTGTTACCTTGATTAATTCACATGAGCAAACTAACATTTCAAAGTAGAGAAAAAGAAGTCACGGAACTGTGCAAGCGTGCAATACCATGGGAACTGGCACTAGTATGGGCCACTTTGCTGTTTAAATTAGCTTGTAGCTATATATTTAACTTGCATCCTTAAAGCAAGACTTGAGCCAGCAGGTGAAACTTGTATATAGCCAACTAAAGATCAAGACATAAACCATATTCGATGACTTAAAAGTAAGTGCATTCATCATGCCAACCAATAGAAGCTGAACCCGCAAAAACTACACTATTCCCAGAACACATATAGGGCCGTGGCTACATCCTACTTCAACATATAAACAGCCACTTACACAATTCCCAACGATATTAAGCAGTAAATCCCTGGGCACATTCTTTCACTAGTCAAGTGCTGGCAGTAATAAACATATCCTGCTGTGAGCAATGTGCTGCAAGATTATAGCTGCCAGCCTGCCACGTTGTCTATGTGATTACTCATGAGCAAAGACCTTAGATCTTGTGATCAAAATATCCAAGAACGAAAAAAGGTTGCTTCAATAGAGTGATTTACATTACGAGCAATTTTACGCGATGATAATGAAGTGAACAACAGACTAAGATAATCAAATACTACTTTAAAAGAAGGCCTTGGGTAAATTTGAGTTTTTACTATGGTTAGGGCACAACATTTTGCAAACCGTTCATAGCATGGGCAGGGACAGGGCAGGCACCATATTCAAATCTCCCACCATAAATGACTAGAAACCATAATCAATGGTAAAAGGATGCATATCCAGTATCTCGAATGGTGCACTAGAAACAGGAAAAGCATTCCACCGCCGCATCATGATACCATCTACACTAAATGTTCCACGCAGAAACATCAAAAGTTGATTCAGTTCATCTCGAAGTTGCAATCAAGGCAACAAATCTGATGCCTCTGTGTTAGGGGCCTCACCTCCGTAGCATCCGGCCACGATGGAGAGGTTAGCCGCATAGGTAGCGGCAGCGCGGATCGGGCCAAGGCGCGCCCTGTGCCGCGACACCAGCCCGAACCCAGCTCCGACAATACCTGCCAAGCAACCAGGTCAACGAACTCAACAGATCAGAGATATCTCCCGAAAGTGAACGAAATCCACGACAGTTCCTCACTCCAACGGAGGCGGAAGTGAAAACGAGGGACAGGTGAGGGCGGCTCACCGGCGGCCACGACGGGGACCAAGATCCGCTCCTTCCAGTCGGCAGAGAATGGCGCTGCTGCTTCCGGCGTCCCTGCGCCGGGGTCCTCACCGTCGCCGGCCGGAGTAGACATTCGTGGTGCTGTGGTCGGGCTTGGCGTCGAGGTGACTGAACAGAGCTCGGGCTGAGTGCACGGAGGGCCCAATATCGGGTGACCTTTTCGGTGTGTATCCGGTTGATGGGCTCTCTCGCTTCTCCGCTATCGCCAGTATTGGGCTTTTACAGAGCATCTAAACTGAGCCTTTTTCTCAAAAAAAAAAAAAATCTAAACTGAGCCTAAAGCGAGCCCTCTCACCCTATCAGTCTTTTTAACCGTTCGATTTCACATCTGGGTGATTTCTGGCCGTCAGATCTTCTTGGCAAACCTAGCAAAAAAGCTCACTCTCCAAAATGCAAGAAAAAATGATTAGCCTCTTTTGTTTGTAGGGGGTGGGAAAAAGGGGTATGGCAACTTGCTTATCTAACATGATTAGGGAATATTGCTTGGATTTTATTGGTATTCAGGAAACAATGAAGAAGGACTTTTCCTCTAAGATCTTGAGGAAAATTGATCCGGAAAAATCATTTTGTTGGAAATGGATCCCTTCTGTTGGCAAATCCGGGGGTATCTTATGCGGTATTAAACATGACACTTTCGATATCAGGTCTTGTATTGTAGGAAGGTGTGTTATGAAATTTGAGTTATGGGACAAAAGAAAAAATGAACTATTCTATACTTGTAGTGTATGGATCTGCACATGAGGAATTTAAAGTAGAGTTCTTAACTGAGTTTTTTGACATGTGTAGTAACATTTCCTGTCCGTATATTGCGGGGGGAGAGTTTAATATCCTTAGACATGTTGGTGAGAAGAATAAGAAAACTAGACTTTGCCATTCTTCTCATATGTTTAATTCTATCATTAATTCCTTTTCTCTAAGAGAAGTAGACATGAATGGTGGTATGTATACTTGGTCAAACAATCAACAAAACCCCACCCTTGAGAAATTGGACAGGGTTCTTATGTCCAACTCTTGGGAGAGCCTATTCCCTTTGACTTTTGTTAGGAAATTGGTGAAAGAGATTTCATATCACTGTCGCCTGATCTTGAATACTGAGGATCTGATCCCTGCTCCTGTGCGGAGGAGAGAATTTAGATTTCACTTGAATTGGCTAAAAAATCCCGATTTCCTTCCCTTAATTGCTAAGGTCTGGATGAAACTGGTTAACTCCAATGATCCAATTGATATTTTGAACATTAAACTAAAGAGATTTAAAAAGTTCTTCAAAGGTTGGGGATCCAACATGTTTGGGCACGCTAGAAAAAAAAGAGATTGTTAAGAGAGGAATTGGAACATTTAGAAAACTAGAAGAAACAGATGTCTTGTCGCCTGAGCTGTATTGTAGGAAAGTTGAAATCTCGGTGGAGTTGCACAATCTCTTAGTTGAAGAGGAAGTTGCTTGGTTACAAAAATCTCATGAAAGTTGGTTGTTGAAAGGGGATACAAATACATATTATTGTCACAGAATAGTAAATTGGAGAAGGAGGAGGAATACTATTTTCTCTCTCAGTTGTGGAGATATGGTGATAGAAGGAACTAAAAACCTATTGAAACATGCTACTGGTTTCTACAAGGACCTTTTTGGTCTTACAGTTGGGAACATTTGTAAAATGGGTGAACATTTGTGGGGGACAAATGAGAAATTGTCAGATATCGATAATTTTATCCTTACTAGACCTTTCTCAGAAACTGAAATAAAGAATGCACTTTTCGCTATGAAACCAAATAAAGCACCAGGGCCAGACAACATTCCTATTGAATTCTTCCAACATTGTTGGGAGATTGTCAAGAGTGAGGTGATGTTATTATTTGAATTGTTCCATGATAATAAGCTTGATGTTTTTTTGACAAATTGACAGTAGGAGAGGTTCCATATAAAAGGTGGTTTACATGGTGGGGTGGTATGTACAGAGGGGGGGGGGTGATCATCCACTAGAGAGAGGGTGCTAAACTAAAGAGGTGAGTAAGATGTTACAAGAGAGAGTTACAAAAATTAAGCAGTGAGGCAATATGTGCCTCTTTAACCCTATGTTGAAGCAACTCAAAGTCTTTTTTGAATCTGTCCAGCCAAGAGCATATCAATGGAGCCACCCCCTGAAGTGTTTGTTGTTTCTTTCTTTCCACAGGCTCCATGCTGAGGTGATGAAAATTTCCACGAAGAGGTGGTCGTGCCAGGCAGCCCTAACTTCGCGAATCACATCTAGGCGCGAGCTGAATGTGGGCCATGTGATTTGTAACCTGCTCCAGCAGGTTTGACTGAACGGGCATGTGAATATCATATGATCAACCGTTTCTTCAACATGGCATCCACAAAGGAGGCAATCATAGTCATGCCCAATGTTATAATGGCGCCTCCTCAACATATTGCGGGTGTTGAGACGGTCATGGAAGAGCAGCCACCCGAACACCTTGAGCTTCATTGTACATTTAGATCGCCAGAGCGGGTTGAAGGTAGGATGGGCACGAGCTTCTCTGAAGCAAAACTTGTAATAATCAGATGCTTTGAATTCAGTTTTGCCCCACGTATATAACCAGATATCAGAGATTGAGGTGGTCGGGTTGGTTTGCCAGGAGAGAGCTTGAAGGTCCCGTAATTCGTTGAGATCTTGGGGTGTGAGCGGTAAATGAAAGTTCTCATGCAATGTCGTGCTCTCCAAGAAACGCTTGACAAAGATGTCTTCATGCAATGCAAACGAGAAAGCCCGGGGGTGTGAGTCTTGTATTATGTTGTCCAGCCAGAGATCTTTCCAAAAAGGCATCATCGTCCCATCTACCACCAGAACTTTGGAAATCCCAAAAAATTTGGACGTGAGTTTAAGAATTTCACGCCACCAGAAAGAGGCCAATGGATCTATGGCATGTGGTATTTTGTCAGAATAATAAGCGTCCCAGATCAAACAGACCCATGGAATGTCCTTCTTGTTATAGAATTTATGCAAAAAAATCATCAGGAGGGCTTCATTTTGAATTTTTAAGTTGATCACTCCCAACCCTCCGCATTTCTTTGGTTTGCATACCATATCCCAGGCAGCCAGGGAGTTACACTTGTCTCCTTGTTCATTCTTTTTTGTCCAAAGGCATCGACGTCTGATTTTATCAAGCATTTCAAGTATCTTGGGAGGGATTTTCAAAGTGCACATGTCATAGATCAGTAAGGACATGACCGTAGCGTTAAGCCAAGAGAGTTTACCCTCGTACGACATCATTGCAATGGTTGGGGTAAGGCGACGTTCCGCACTGCAAATGATGGGCATGAGGTCCTGAACAGATGGTTTTGATGTCCCAAGAGGTAGGACCAAGTACGTAAAAGGCATTTGACCAACAGAACAGTCGAATATGTTAGCCAGAGCACTACTAGGGAAAAGCCTAGCAGCAACGCGGGTTTTAGGTATAGCAATAGCGCGGGCATCCGCGCTATTGATACGACGCTACAGCTAACCTGTAGCAGCAGCACGTGTTGGCCCGTGTTACTGCTATACAAGCATAGTAGCAGCGAGCTGTAGAACAGCGTGCTACTGCTAATAGCTCTAGCGCTTTGTATTAGGCCGCGCTACTGCTAGTGGCACGCTGCTACTAACTTTACTCCCCTCGCTATTGCTAATTTTATTAGTTTTTGAATTTTTTTCTGCATATTTGTTTTGTATTTGAATAGGCTTTATACAAGAATCTTTAGCACATACAAATGTCATCATCATACACATACAAATGGCTGCGAGACCACAAATGTAATCATAGCATATACATACAAATAGTCTCATTAAATCATGTCATCATCATCCAACACAAAGTGGTCTCTCGTCATCATCTCGAAAATAGCGATACAAGTCTCGAATACTTGCAACTACATCGTCATTTATCTAAACAATGATGTACGCGAGAAGAGCTATCACTATGAGTGAGAGCGGAACTATGCAGTACATGAGGCGGCGGTTACGAGTCCTCTCTCGCGCTAGCGTGAACCTCAAGTAACTAGCTTCGGCTTCTTGTCTGCTTTTGAGGCATTTATGGCTGGCGCCCGAGAACCCATCCACTTGCGCCTAACACTCAGGCCACTCATCATACACTCCTGGAACCTTCTTTTCGTACATGACATAGCACTGCTTCTTCGCCATCAATAATCTAGGTACTTGTTAGAGATGCACCTTCATCAAGAGAATGTATGATCATATGCAACAAAATATACTAGAGAAACACGAAAAAGAAAGGGTTAGCAACTAGATGCAACATATAGTACGCAAACTAATTAACTAGAGGTACGCATGTCATCGTACCCAAACTAACAAAGTAGCGTTACGCAAGTTCGGCAGGGACCATGGACATCACAAAGTTTCATAGCTACAGAAAGTATACAAGTTCAACCGACACATATCATCATCATCGGCATCGTAAATCACTAGAAGTTCCATCCTTCCATATCATCAAGGATGGACCCTAGCTTCTTGAACGATGTGAGGTCATGAGTTGGATGCCTATGCGAGTTTGGACGTCAGCTGGCGATATAGGGCCGTGGTGGAACATCCCCTTCTCATCGACGACTTCTTTCATGATGATCGTCGCAATGTCCCTTTGGATGCGAAAGATGTCATCTCTAAGTTTATAATCCGCTTCTCCATGAGATTCTACCCACTTGCAGATATGATCATCGTTTTTGGTTGTCATGCGAAGCTTTTGGTGATCCGTGCTGAACTCAATCATGAGATGGAGGAGGTAGAATCCATCTTTCTTGCTTGGTTTTGGGACATGGATGCAGCAGAAGTTAGTTTTATGCGAGAAACCCAACTTCTTGTTCCTTTGTTTCCTGATCTGCAGGTGGCCACCCCTAATGTTGAAGCCTTGGAGAGCATCATCTAGAATATTCATTATGTGGGTGTAGTCCTTCTTCTCATAGTCTGTGGTAGGGTCGAAATACACAGCGTGGGAGACTCGCGGGTAAGAACGATAAGGACAGCGCGCCCGTTACTGCAGGGAAAAATACACCTCAAATTATTCTCCATATGAGCGAGAAGGAATGATTGAAATGTACGAAAGGCTTGT